TTGTTAGAGCTGGTCCCTCAAGGTCAGCACTGATGGATGCTGTTGGGGATGTGCAGGGAGCCGTGTACTGTCACTGTTCAAGCTGAAATTGATCTGTGAATGGGTAAAAAATTTCACCACCCCCTGCTGAAAATGGATGGGCAAACCCAGCTCCATTTGTAAGTGTAGAAATTAATCTTAAACAGAAAAAGTACTACTACAATGTATCCTTGAGAACTCCCAAAGCAAGGGGAAGACAGTGGAACTGTGGGTCAGTTTAGTAATAAAATTATTTAAACAGAAGGAATTCATACAGAATTGCATTTCAAGATTGCAAGGTGAATTTTCTTAATTTAACTTTCACTACTTATTCAGTACTGACTTCTGCCTCTACATTAAGTGATGAATATAAAGTTTATTATTCCCAGTCCCCAAGAGAAATTTTATTTTAAATAAAAAATACATTATTTACACTTGAAGCAAAGTTAGCTTCCTTCCTTACCACAGTTTCCAATATAGCAGAGGCATTCAGGAAATGCAGAAATGACCCCTGTAACACAGATGCTTTTAGAATTATATATCCCTTATTGTATCTATCTTATTGACATACCCACGATTTATATTTTCCTGATCTCCAAGGACAGTGTAGTTTGTAAAAGGCAAAGAATTGTTATCTCCAACTTGTTTGATAGCTTTTATTGTGATAACACGTAGGACCCTATGTGATACCACCGATTTTCCTAGGGGAACACTGTGCACCAAGCAAGTCCGTAGAGTTTGTTGCTCCAGGTCTGCACAGCTGCTGTGTGGCCACAGGTGAGAGCAAGAGATGGTAGATAGAGAGATGTGTGTGTCTAATCACTCCAGAACCAAACTGTGATTGCAAATTGAGCTTTGATGTGAGTACCTGAATCTTGAGATACAAAGCCCCATTAAATAATCTCAATCACATACCCAGAAATAGAGACCAACAGCTAGAGTAATGTGTTAACTCGTGTAATTTTAAAATTAATAGGTGTTGGTCTTGCTGGTTAAAATATGTAGACATAGGTAGGAAGACAGACAGACAGACGTGGGTCTCTTTTCCAAATAAAACACTCGCTTTGCATGCGTAATTTTTACTGTTCACATCATCTGTAGTATGCGCATTTTGGTTTATGTGGACCTGAATGTTAAATACGTGTTTTTTAAAATGTTCTTAAAGTACAGCTGTAATACTGAATTACAATGAAGGACGAGGTAAGAATTCAAAATGATTTTGACAGATAGAAGTTCCTGTCGGGAATGGAGTTATCCCTCAGGAATGATATAGGTAAAGTTTATTCTGCCTTACGGCCTCGTGATGGACTACATGACCTTTCAAATTCTCTTCCAGCCCTGTTTTTTATGATTCTGTCATCAACTCATTTCAGCATTTGACAGCTGCTGTATTTGTATTATAGATAATTCTAGTGCTTTAAAAAAAATTGGTTTTTTTTGGTGAATTTACATAGTTTGTTGTATTTGTATTATAGATAATTCTAGTGATTTTAAAAAATTGTTTTTTTGTGAATTTACATAGTTTGCACATTGAACATTAACTACATTTAAAATGTATTTTCCTTTATATCAAATTGTTAATGGTTTTGGATCTCATTTGGCAATTTAGGAACTCTTTTCTTTCAGCCTAAAATATCCAAGTGTTGATTTTTTAGGAGAGGTTACAATGCTGCAAATTACTGTGATTTAATATCAATATATCACAAGGCTGATATACTGTTGATCCATTAGTGGTCATAAACTGCAGATAATTCACTTAATTTGGAATGTGAAATCCTGATTCTCAATATAGTTTTAGTAAAATTCAGTCTGGAGAAGGATTATTCTTCACATGTTAAAGTCATGGCAAGGTGGTTTTCTCTTTGCAAATGTAATTTAGTCTTATGAATAGATAGTCCTGTAAAAATATTGTCGGGTTAATTAAAATTCATTTGTGCATTTTAAAACCAGTGCCTGCTAATCAAATATCCAGTAAACATGATCTCAAACTTCTTTGCAAGACTGGATACAAATGCAGTACAGACCAAAACATTTACTTTAGAAATACTTCTTTTCTTTTAAACTGACTGTGTGGCCGACTTTACTGAACTCTGTATGTAATGAATTGCTTTCTAAACTGTATAACTGCTTTGTGGTTTTTCAACTTCCTGATATTTGTAACTATCTTGTTATTTTTATAGATAGTAGACTTACTCCTTGAGAGTCTAATATAGCATCTGTACATGTGAATCATATCCATTTAAAAAAACACAATAAGTATTAGCTGAACGATCTGTTTATGGAACAGTAAAGTGTATTGAGAACTTCTGTATTTTCCACTTGGAAAGAAATTCAATGTACTTGTAAAGTTGTTAGAAGATTTGTGAAATTTAGACGATAGTAAAATTTCAAGTTAATCGGTTATACAATTTTCAGTATTATATAGGTTAATAGAATTAGCCCCTGAAATGAAGAGAGAAAACTTGCTTTGAACACTGCATCCAAGAGCTTTCCATTATGCTCACACACTTTGAAACTTAACATCATCTTATTTTCTTTCAACAGAAAGCTTTTCTTTACAGACTATGGGAATGTTGCCAAGGTGGAGAGATGTGACATGGATGGAATGAACAGGACATGGATAGTAGATTCTAACATTGAGCAGCCAACTGCTCTTGCACTAGACCTCGTCAATAAATACGTGTACTGGGTTGACATATATCTGGATAATCTGCAAGTTGTTGACTATCAAGGAAGAAAGAGGCATACCGTAATGAGAGGCAGACAAGTAGGTATCGATTTGCAAATGCAATAAAAAGTCATGATACCAATAAATGACCTGCATGGTGCTAGCAGTTACAGTAATGTTCAGAATCTTTTCTTCTGGGTTCAAGAAAGAAAGACGTTAAAAGATTCAGCTGCACATTTTGTTTTATTTGCGATTTAGCCCAATTTGCAAACTACAGGCAAGCTTCCATGCAGTGGCTCTTTAGCAATAAATCATGTACGTCACAGTTTCCACTGTAAGAGACTTCTGGAGGGGAAATATGGTGTGATAAGAGGAGCTGAATTATTAGTGACAAGAAGACGCTACTACCAGTTCAGGAAAAAGAGACTATCAGGGAGAAGAGAAATAACAAAAGGTGTTCAGATTGGTTCAGACCTATCCAGATGCACTCAAACCATATTTATATTGTTGGCAATTGCCTTCCTCCCAGTTGATCCAGGTGTTTAGAGTCATAAATATAAACCCTGAGACTGACCTGTGAGTCTGTGCAGGAGCAGGGATGCATCAATCCATTGCTTTAGCTTGGAGAGTTGGGTAGCAGGTAGCGTGGAAAGGAGAAGTTCCACAACTCGTAAAAGTCTTTGGAAAAGTGGGGGAAAATAGCAAAGAATTGCACTGGGTTGTTGCTCTGTCTCACAGTTTACATGTAAGTCTGGTTCTGCCTGATGTTAAATAGGATATGGAAGAATGAAGAAACAAATAGAATAAATACCTCACCTGCTCTGCTGTCATTCCTTACTCCCGAATAATCCTTGTTTACCAGACACAGCTGCTTAATGTAACCATCATTTAAAATATGTAGAAATAATGACAAAAACCAATCCAGATTAGCTTGTTAAACAGCAAACACCAATCCTTCTTATTTTTACTGAAATGCTCCCCTTATTACTCTAAAAAGACCCAGCCACAGTCTTCAGCCAGTTGTGCTGCAATGGCCGGTCTTGTAAACTTGTTTTTTTCAGGTGCCATTTTGGGAACAGATGCTTAGAAAAGAAAATAAAGTTTTAACAGGCTTGATCTGAATCGTACATGCTTGTGTTCTAGGAGAGGTGTGAGATCTTTCTCTTATCTGAAATTTGGATATAAAAGAGGACTCCTAATTAAATCTTAGATTTAATCTGAAAGAGGATTTCTTGATCTGAAAGAGTTCCTTTGTTCTCTAAACTAGCTAAGAAGGGCGAAAAATGTTTCTTCCTGTATGGATGAACTGAATGGGTGACAAGTATAAGGTTAGGCTTTTATGTTGGTCACTTCCAAGGCGGGTGGAGAAGCACATGGATTGTCTGTCCCCCAAACAACAAATTTGTGATTTCACTCATTTCTGTGCTTACATTTACTGGCATTGGATTTGACTTAGCTACTCCACGCTGCTTGTAGTTAGTCTAAGAAACAGTAAACTAGAAAACTCCCTCCAAGAAGTTTTAGGGGTGAAAGTTTGTTTTTATAAACCCAAGCATATCAAAACACAGACTTTTTCAAATGATAGGCTTTTATGGTCGATAATTTGGAGAGGCTTTCAAAGCACTAACTATGTTGCAAACATTTCTATTCATACATAAGATAATTGAGAAGCTGCATAAGGAGTAAAAAGTACCACAGAAATGCATAAATTAAAGCACTATAAAGTGCTTTGTGAAAAAAAAGAAATAGATAAGCTGTCAGGGGAGTTAAATAATGAAGTTTTAAAATGGGTGCAAATGGAAACAGGGAAGAAAGAGAATGAAGAGAATTCCAAAATTTGGTACAAATGCATCATTATTTTCAAGTCTGTTTTCTATGTCTAGCGTTACTAAAATTGGACTGAATTTCCCTTGTGTCTTAATTCCTTTGATTTCAGTTACTTTTTGCTTGGTAAGGGCAGAGTACAGAAGCAAGGACAAGGATTTGGCCAGCCTGGAATAACCCTGGAAGGGGCTGGGATTCCAATGCCCAACATGATTCTACCTCCCCAGGTCTCCACCCTGGTGTGGTCTCACTGGGGGCCTCCCTGCCTTTTTTTTTGGTCTGAATCTGGGAGTAAATGGTCTGAGTAAATACTTTGTCACAAATAATTTATTGACTAATAAGACACTCAGCTTATGGAGCACCTACCAACAAATTCTCTTAACTAATACTAATGTATTCACTTAGATCAGTATGCCAGAATTTATAATTTTAAAAACAGGGAAATTTTAAAAGCAGGGAAATTCGGAGGATAAATGACTTTAGAAAGCTTAAAATTTAAAATTTTCTTTTACTTGTACAAATTTTACTTGTTTAGCATGTACATTTCACATTATTATTTGATGTTTCAAAAAACCAGAAATAGCTAAAATAGCTCAAATAATGATTCTTTCTCTCTTTTCCAGGTTAGGCATCTCTGCGGGATAGCTGTATTTGAAAACTACTTATATGCAGTTAATTCAGATAACTTCAGCATTTTACGAATCAACAGATACAACAGCTCTGACGTTCAGTCTCTTACTAACCTCGAAAATGCTAAAGAGATCCGCGTGTACCAGAAAAGAACTCAAACAGCAGGTAGGACCCAAATTCCTCTTTATAAGGAGGAGAAAATCAGTGAAGAGGTAGATACGTGGTCAAAAATATTCTTGCCCACTCGGTTTGGTCTCAGCCTCTCAGTCTCCGAGGGATTTGTCAGACAGACACAAACCTCAAGGGCCTCGAGCTTCCCTCCTCTGCCTCTGGGGATGCCAAAAAGCGGGAAGATTTGGGCAGCTCGCCTGCCCACCGCCAGCCCAGCCACTGGTGAGACAGGAAATTGCTTTTCAGTTTCCCTCAGCTTGAATAATTAACTCTTATGACAGAATCCAAGTCTTTGATCCATAGTCCGGTATGGCTCTAATCCTAATTGCATCCTTGCTGCATCCAGGAGGGCAGGATGATTTGTAGGAACGTTGTGCAAAGATTACCGGATCTCAAATGCTTGCAATTACACTTTATCAAGGAGAGGGGTTTTTTTTGATACAGCTGATAGCAATCAATACTAGACCCCGTGCCATGGCTGCTTGTGCAGCCAACACATCCCAGACTGCTGCAGAACCAGCCTTCACCGCGTAGCCGGGGACATTGCCTTGTCCATGTGCATCCAGGAGAGGGTCGTACGGACTCGCCTTGCTCCAGACCGACCTCCTGTGCCCCTCAGGGAGGCTGCAGCACAGGAGGGACACGGTGACAGCGTAACCTTCATTGCATCTTTCGTGATTACTCTGCCGCCCCTTGCCCTTGTTTTGTTCTGCTGGTTACTTCGTTTGCAAGGAGCGTGTCTGTTGCTTTTAAGATTTGCTGTAAAGGCTGTCTCTGCTCGGGGAAGTTTCTGCATGCCTTGAACAGTATCGACCTTAAACCACTGGATTACTTGTTTAAAGATAACTAAAAAGCTTGAGGGAAGGAAGACTGGAGAGAAAACAAGTGTTTTGAGCCAAGGCACTGTTGCCAGGGTAGATGCAGGATAGATGTTGCTCTCTGACCAGACTTAGTTTAAGAAGGTATTTTTATTATTATTTTTATTTTTTAAATGAATTTGGTGTATTAGTCTGGTAATTCAGAACTGTTCATTGGAAACTGTGATGTCAAGGGGCAAGAATGCTTTGGGTTCTGCAGTTGCATTTATGTCCCTAATGTTCAAACACAGGAAAGAGGCTGTTTGCTGTTTGGTAGTTTCTGCATAGGTATCTACCCCCAAATGGTGTTTAGTGAATTGGGTTGGCTTCAGTTGGGTCAACTTCTCTTATAGCTCTATTCTTGGGAAAAAAAATACTGTGATACAAATTCTTTTTTTAATTTTTTCTCCCCCGTAACCCTCCCCATGCTGATGTGTGTAATGGCTTTGGGTTTAACCCGTGCTGTTTTCCCCGCTGCAGCCAGGAGCCACGCGTGCGAGGCGGACGCGTCCGGGGCGCCGGGCGGCTGCTCGCACCTCTGCCTGCTCGGCAGCAGCTACAAAACCCGCACGTGTCGCTGCAGGACCGGCTTCATCCTGGGAGGCGACGGCAGGGCCTGCAAAAGTATGTTGTGAAATCGGATTGCTAACTGCTAACACTTCAGGTGGTGTTTAAAAGGAGTGAGAAGAGCTTTTCCTTGTGGTAGTTTGTGAAAGGAAAACTCAATTTGAGTAATATACTAATACCTAGCACTACAGGAAAAGCAAAATCTGTCCTGCAACCAAAGGCACAGTCCTGAAGGGTTTGTTAAAGTCCTGTTTTTGTCTGTTTTCCTGACCATGGGAGAATTCATAATGTGAAGGAAAGGAAAGAAAAATCATCTTACTAAGCCTATTTGTAATTAGCTTACTTAGTTAAATTGCAAAAAAAATGCCGAGAAATAAGAAATATTTGGAAGAAATTTGGAAGAAATTTAATGTAGTCCTCTGCCGTGTTTGTTTCTGGAAAACTTCAGGTGAAAAAAATCTGTGTTTTGAACTTGCTGAAGTTTACAGTCTTGTTAGATCTAATGATTGCTTTGTTCACAGTCGACATTACCGTGATAAATCCTAATGAATTGTAAAATTAAATGCCTGCAATGCTATATATGTCCATTTCACAGTAGATGCAAAGTTATTCTACGGTCTAGTATTTCTGTTCCGTATGAAATTTGATAGAAAAAAATAATTGGATATAAGCAGCTCACTGAAGTAGTTTGTATTTTAATTAAGGTAATGTAATTAGCTAGATTTCTTGAGTTTAGTTACCTTCAGAGTATTTGATTTAATTTTTGGTATTGAGTAACACTCCTGCTCCCCTACTAATTGTGCCAGTTAATTAAACAGTGACATTATGCACTGTAAAAGAAGATTAGGCAGCATCAGTTGTTTATGTTGTAATCTTTCTTTTGCAGGACCAAAGAATGAACTGTTTCTTTTTTATGGAAAGGGCCGCCCAGGAATAATACGGGGAATGGACCTGAATACCAGAGTATCTGATGAATACATGATCCCTATAGAAAACTTAGTCAATCCTCGTGCTCTGGACTTCCATGCCGAGACGAATTACATTTACTTTGCTGATACGACCAGCTTCCTAATTGGACGACAAAAAATTGATGGCACAGAGCGGGAAACCATCCTCAAAGATGGTAGGCAATGTTAACTGACAGTGACTACCACAGAATCTCACTAAGGAGAAGCTGAACTTATCTCTATAGATAATTTTACTTAAATATTCCATTGAAAACACACCCAAACTAGACCTTATGCAGAGTTGGAAATATTTTTCTTACAACCTCCTATTCATGTTTCCTGAGTCCAGAAATAGTAAGTTGGGTTAAGTTGTTCTGTTGTGAAGTTTTATACTGTAGCCCCTACCCTACCTGTCCATAGCAGTGGAACAAATAACATCAGTTCACTAGTTTCTGCCTCTCCCTCCAGACTTCACAGACTTTCTGGGGTAGATTCACATCTTTTGATACTAAATGCAGTTTTGAGTGATTAAATCTCCATCCTGCCAACCCATCCTTCTTTTTTTTTTTTT